TTTTCTGGATTTTTTCCCCCATGTTGTCTCTCATAGTTGAGGTATACCTATGGTGAAAATTACAGGCCTCTCTCATCTTTTTAAGTGGGAGAACTTGCACAATTGGTGGCTGACTAAATACTTTTTTGCCCAACTGTAAATCACATCCATATTTTAATTTTTTCCCAATTACACCATCTGTACCTGCAGCTTTACTGTTGAGCATGTTGAACATTCCCTCACCATTTTTAACACTGCTTGTTGAGAGAGGAAGAAACCTGATTGGTTGGAGTTTGAATTTTATGAGGTTTGCTGCCCACTATTCAGAGTGACTGATTAACTCTTTCACATCTAAATTTCTGGGAGTGTTTTCTCTTCTTTCATTACATGCATGAATCTCAAAATGGACAAAAGGAATCATGTACAAACCACATGTGTGTGATTTGTACATACATTTCAGCTGGATGCAGGCTGATTCTCAGTTCTACTCAATCTATGTACACTATTTCATAAAATCTAACTTTCAGATTTTTTAATGATTTATTCTTTTCAGATCATTCTACCACTATTATCTATTATATAAACAGCTCACTTATTTTACAATACTCAAATCATGAAATTGTTCTATAAAATTATGAAACTGCTTTGTAAGACAGTTGAAAAATAATCTGGGTTTGATGGAATATATAAATAATATATACAAGTTAATTCACAGCTGCACATTTTAATAAAGATTAATCAAAGCTTTACTTATAAGCTTGCCTAGTGTTGTTTAGTATTCCAGTTCAACAAAGATCAATAGAGGCCATTCCCGTCTCTTGACGCCTCTCCAGGAAACAGAGGTGCGATTATGTAAATAGCACTAGTTCCTCTATACTTCTGCCAGCTCGCTTATCTCCAAAGCCTTCTGCCTGCTGCCATTGGCGACCAATACAGTATGCACATCTATCCCATATCTCTTAACAAAGCTCGAGCACTACAGCCAGTCATGTTAAACTGTGATGCATGTCTGGTTTTATTTGTAAAGTGATTCATTTCAGTACATTTAATCTCTGTTGTATTTAGTTCATATATAAAACCATAGCCGATCAGTTAGAATAAGGAAAAAAACCCCAGATGCATCCAGACATTCACTGGTGCTTGGGATAATCCATTGACTCAACAATGCAACACAGCATTGCAATATAATTAGGAAATGTCAGTGTCACAAAATGGACACTGACTATCAGGAATAAAGGAATGTACATCAAGAAAGGCACCTGGTTTGCTTCCTATTCTTTTTGCAAGAGAGCAGTAAATCATGAAATGGACCATCAAAATAAAACATTTATGTTTTAAAAATCACACATTAATATAATTAAATTTTTCTTATGATAAAAACTGTGTTGTAATGAATTGAATATATAAGCATTGGCATTGCCTGACAAAACATTGTATTTATCCTGCACTCTCCTAGCATAATCCCCATTTAACATTACTAGCAATGGCTCCTACTGTGAGGGACTATTTTTTTATACGAATGCACTGATTCACAAATAGCTTTTGCACAACATATTCTCAGCTCAGCAAGAAGTCTACACTCTTGAATGAACCAGAACACATTAGTGAGAGAAAGTTCATTAACCTTGCTAGATTTAGAGGGTTAACAGGATAGTGAAGAAAGGAATTGAGTGAAAAGCTCTGTTGCAAAACAAATTAAAATGAATGTCATCATTCCTTTTGATATTCATTAGCTAATTCACAGAGAGTTTTTTCTTAAATTTGCAGCTATTTATCAGTGAAAAACAGGTGTACACCTGCTGTTCTAGTCCTTCTTAGTGATGATGATGATAATAATAATGATAATAGTAATAGTGGTAGCTGTAGTACTAATAAATACAACATAGAGACTTACCACATCCACTACGGGAATAACTGGGAGAGGGAGAGAAGACCTGAGCAGCAAAATCCTCAAATGTCAGTAGTTCTTTGTGATTCTGGATTATTGCATCAAGATATAATGCTCTTTCCTCATAACTGTTGGAAATAGGTTAAGGAAATTCATTCTGTTACCAAGCCTCAACTATTCAAGTTTGTATTTAACACACAACATTTAGAAAGAAAATTGTACCACAGTTGTTATTGTATATTTCCAAAGCCACAGAATTCTAAGTGTTGCAATAATTAACATTTAGACTTTATTCATATGAATGTAGTATTGTCAGTGCTAAACAAATTATAGTATTATAAAATTATAGCGTTAAAAATACTGATTTTCAAATTAAATGTAACGGGTCTTTATCAGTGATAAATTAAAATCATGTAACAATGAGGAAAAATGTTATAGTATATACACGCACACATACTATGCATTGATATATTAATACCAATATAGACATGCACATACATTTGAGCTACTGATTATGACTGGAAAGAATTAGAAATGTTAACTGCTTTATTTAAAATAGAATATACAACAATTGACTACATTCTTAAGAGATGCTAAAGCCTGAGATTTTCCAGAAGAATTGGCAATTTCTTGAGCTATACTAATTTTAAAAACAGAACATGTGTACACTCTAGTCTTAAGCATCTAAAACCAATGGTATTGCCTTTTAATTAAAACTCAGCAACCTGGAACACACACCATATAAATGCATAATCAAAAACCAGTCACCAATAAAACTTACAAGCATAACAAGCTGAAGCAACTTTCCAGCTGTCTTAACAGGACCCCTGCTTGTGGTATCTTTTCACAGGGAAGACAGCAAATCTCTCTTTGTGTGCAGCTTCTAATTTCTTTGATGGTGATTCATGCACTTAAAAGAACAGCAGTAACATTTTGTACGTATTTAGAACAGACTATCTTATATTGGATTTTATGAATTCAGTGGTCAGTCAATATAATGATGTATATGTTTTTCAAATATGAGAAAACTGTTTACTTTTATGAGACTCCTACAGGGGTTGGAACAAAGAATGAATCCTTTACCATGCTCTTATCTCTGTATTTGTTTGTCCTTAAGGCATTACAAGGATGTTACTTATGTAGCACATTTCACTTAAAGTTTAACAATACAACAGAAGGAACTTGTAAACCATTTCTGAAAGGACAAAATAACTCTCCTTCTTGGTCATTATTATCCAAGTCAGCTGATCATCACAAAACAAAACAAGGTCAACATGGTGTGTGTGTGTTTTTTTTTATATCCCGGTGTCATTATTGTGCAGTGACAGAAACTAACAGGGTATTTCACACAACGTATCTGCTTGTTTATTTATATTCCATTCCTAGGTATATTTAGAGATGCTTTTCTGTTATAGGCTGAACTGCTGATGACTTGATGCTAATGACTAGTCTGCCAAACTTCCTAGGCGAGAGGCACACGCCTAGAACCTATTCTAAAGGGACTGACGGATGCCATTCACATCTCATTATGAACATGCTTATTCTGCCCGGCGCTTTGCTGTTGCTAGGGATCTCTATTCCACACTGACACAGCAAGTGCTGGTCCTGAACAGCAGGATGTTCGGCCTGAGTGGCCGTCTGGTGCACAGACTTTCTGACACTAAGCTGGCACGTGCTGGCGCAGCAGGGGAAAGCCAAGGCGTGACAAATTACTGAAAGAGCTAAGCTAAACTTATGGCTGAAAACCACCTGAGCCTGTGGACCTCTGTGGGCCTGCCATCTATCCTCAATTCCTTTCCCCCTCGCCCTTTCAGTCCGCAGTCTGCTTGCGGCCTCAGTTTTGTTGAAGCAGTTACAACAGACCTTGTTTCCATGCTATATCTATAAACATAATAAATGGAAGAGATGCCACAAAAGGGGGGGGGGGGGGGCCAGTATATTGTAGATCAGAAAGCTTGATTGGCCAATTATTTTAAGACATAATGAAATCAATAATGATAATGCTACTTCAGAGGAGGATAAACATTCACTCAATACTAACAGCCAATTATAACCAACAACATTAGGAAATGAATATAGATTTGCAAAAGGGTACCTCCACCCCACCCCTAGACATACAGGTGGGATAGGCAAAGACCACCTTCAGTGAAGCTTATCTCCTGATACCTCCAAGAGCTCTTCTATTTAGTTTTCTTGGTAGCTATTGTATGGGGAAGTGCTATTGCTATTGTCTTCTTCTGATTTAGGTTGCAAATTTCCCAGTCTAGCATACAACTGTGGAATTTCCTTTTTTTTTAAAAACATTATTAAATTTCAACAAAGAATAAAATATAGAAAAATAGAATAAAAAAAAGGATAGAAAAAGAGAAAAGATCAGAAAAAGAGTACAAAAAAAAGTGAGAATAGAAAAAAGATGAATAGAAAAACTTCTGATATAAAATACATTCGCCTCTTACTCTAGTTTTAAAATAATACAAAGTAAATCTAAAACTGGAATTTCCTAGTTAGCGTCCATCAAACTAAATTCAGCTCTGTTTAGGCTTTTTCAAGATCTGCTGAGATCAGCTAAGTGTTTCCAGTGGTAAATTGTCTAGGTAATAATAAAGATAGTTAATATATTTTAAAAATTTCCTTAAGTGTAATGTAGGAAAAAATTCTAATTAAAGAGTAATTAGAAAATAATGTTAAACAAATCTTTCCTGCATATTGAAAAGAACTTTAAAAATAGCTACATTCAAAAGAGTAATTAGAAAATAATGTTAAACAAATCTTTCCTGCATATTGAAAAGAACTTTAAAAATAGCTACATTCAACAGCAGCAAAGCCAACAAATTTTAGATCTCCGGTTATTCTCCTTAATATTTTATCCCAGTTTTATTTATTTATACACACACACACACACACACACTACTAAAACTCTTGCATCTGTTTGTAACCTTTAACTGGGCAAAATGGTGTGTCATAGGCCAACAGTTTTTGAACCAAGGTACCTCAAATGGGCTAACTTACAGAATGTATCCAAAATCTGGGACCCATGACTCCCATGGAACTGAAATTTGGCAAATTTTATAAAACATTTTATGACATAAAAATTATCATAAAACATTTTATCTGGGACCCATGACTCCCATGGAACTGAAATTTGGCAAATTTTATAAAACATTTTATGACATAAAAATTATCATAAAACATTTTATGATGTAATACAAAATGTCATAAAACGTTTCCTGTTGTCAACTCCTGATATTTGACTGTGCTATTCAGTTCAATATGAATGACATGGGCATTCATATTTCAAGGCAGATAAATCTCTGGATATCTCCCTGAATTTTTAAGAACTTTTCCAATGAAGGCAGTACATTAGAAGCTCTGCCATTGTAGAAGGTACTGAGGAATCTGGTAAGGAAATATCTTTGAAACGATGACCCAACAGGTCACCAGTTGTCTAGTGTGTGTGTGTTTGTGTGTGTGTATGTGTGTGTGTGTGTAGATTTTAAGGCTCCTTATAAAATTATGCTATTCACAGAGATAATTTGGGTAGGTTATTTTTTAGGTGCAAATCACACATAGTGGCTTGGAAATATATGGAAAAAGAATAGGAGCTTAATTTTTGTATCCTAAATACTGGCTGTAGTATGGATGCCGTCTGGTCAGGCATCATGCATATCTTTTAGTTTGACACATCTGAGAATGTTACTTGGAAACCATTACCTATCTTTTGGATCCATATCCTTTCTGGCTATTAAAAGCTATTAACAGAATTATCTATATTAGGGATGGAGAACGTTTTTGGCCATATTTTTAGCTGTATAACATTCTAGGGGCTATGTGCTAGGAATGGTTAGTATCCAAGCAACGTTCTGAGTGTCCCTTTCTTTCTCTGTCATCGTTAGCCATTCACAATTTCCTTGGTATTATTTGCTGCCCGCCAGGGAAAGGAGCTGAGGAGGTTGATCCCAGGAGCATTCTAAAGCAAAAATGGGCAACCTTTTTTAGCTCCTGCAGCTATATCAGTTGGCAGGTTGACCACTGTACACACGTATGTGCATCCATTTTTCTCTGTCACTCATTCACCACTGAGGATGATGCCCTCCGTTCCCAACAATCTTGATCAGGGGTATTGAGAGGAAGTGGGGAGCATTATTACGTATTTTTTATTTATTAGATTTATAATCTATGTTTTGTTTGGAGGTCAAGGCAGCCAACACCTTAACCACTACACCACATTCCACTGTTTCTCAGTGGTGAACACTGAAGGATTCTGCTTTCAGATAGCTGGTTTTATGCTATAGGAAGCCAGTGATTTTGACCAGTGTAGCTGGAAGGAGGAGGAACTCCCTCTTTCTCCTCTGCATTTTTGCTCAAGATATACTGAATTCCCATACCAGTAGCAGCAGGAACCAGCATTCTTGCATAAGGATGCTAAGAGGGGGAAGCAACAAGTTTTTCCCTAACATCCTGTGATGGAATGTATCTACAAAGGGAGTGGTGGTGGTGTGATGGAATGCAACAGAGCACCAGGTTCTCAGGAAGGAGGGGGCACATTCCAGGAAGGGGAGCGAGACAAGAGACAGCACAGTCCATAGCAGGAGCATGGGAAGAGGAAGAGATTGAGGATAGCCACGCCTTAGAATCTCCCAGGGTATATCCACTAGTTAGAGTAGTACAGATTTAGTCTGGCAAGATTGATGGCAGGCCCAGCCCAAGAACAATAGGGAAACAGTTCAGCCAAGTTAAGTTCTTTTATTGCTTACACCATATAGACAGAAGCTTGCCAGACTAAATCTGTACTACTCTAACTACTGGATATACCCTGGGAGATTATAGGGAGTGGCTATCCTCAATCTCTTCCTCTTCCCACACTCCTGCTCTGGGCAGTGCTGTGCCCCCTCCTTCCTCAGAACCTGGTGCTCTATTGCATTCCATCACATATCCTATTCAACATTACCCATTGCTAATAGCAATAAAAAATTACCTATTCCCATTGGCAACCATACTGTTGCCAATAGTACTTGCAATTTGCAATTGCAATACTATTTGTGCTAATCCACAATCTTTTTAATTAAAAAAAGATTGACACAAATAGGGCCTGTCAATAATGTCAGCATAATACACATCACACATAACTGCAAAACAGGCATACAATTGCAAAGTTTT